GTGACTCAAAACTCTTGTAGGCCCAGGGGGTAGTTTATCCACTGGGGAAAGTGTGCCCCCCCAGTCTCCAGTGGCATTTTCACCCATCCAGACCTGTAATTCAAACAATGTGATCCTCGTTTTCACTGATGCCACCTTTTAATCTATTTGATCTGTTTCCTCAGGGAGATTGTTGATGACTGATGTTGATGATTGATGACGATCTGATTCCCCCCAAAGCTCCTGAATTGCATGACCATGCACACAGAATAAAACACCTAAAAAGTTTACACATTCTACTGATAAGGAGACTTATATGCTACTTCCAGTTCTGGACTGCAGTCTGTGAGACAAGAACAAGCATGATCAGAACAATAATTTGTGACCGATCACAGCAACAGCTTTAATGAAAGCTGCTCTGGAGAATTTTAGACTGAAACAGGGTATTTTCAGAAAGATGTACTCTCACTTATAACATACCTTGGGATCCAACTTGTCAATCATCTTCTTCAGTAGTTCATAAAGCTGGATAGCGTTACCTTGGGAATACCAGCCGGGCTTGTCCAGAGACAGCAGAGCCTCCTGCTCCTCATCATTCTCTGAAATCACCAAGCAAAATCGCTCGCTGTTAGTGAGAGCAGCCCATGCTCCTGTATTCGTGAGACCCGTGAGAAGCTGCCTGTGAACAGCTTGGAGATCACGGTCTATTTTGACATTAAAGCAGCTTCCGTGTCTGGCTCAAGTCTTGGTACTGACTGCCAGTTCAGTCAAGGTGTTTGGCAGCTGGGGGTAGGTAGACATCTGTGAGAAAAGAAGCAGCTGAACTTCATCTGCCAGGGCTACAGAAGAGCTGAAGAATGAAAGCCATGGGCTTTGCCTCCCAAACACTGCAGCAGTGAAGGCAGGAAGCCATACGAACCAGACTGATGGAGGAGCTGCTACAGATCTAAGGTGAAACCATGAAATAAGACAGACTGTAAGAGCCAGCATGTACCTTTCCCCACAGACAAATTACCTACCGCTTATAAACACTGATATAAATACAACAAAACAGACTGAGACAGCTCTTATGGGCAACCACCAGCCTTAGATCAGCACAAACAATGAGCAGTTCCAGTTATCATCCAGCCTTGAAGAAATGATGAGCAGACAATAGTGCTGCTGGTGGTGTAATCCACATTGGCATGTAGCCACACTGGGAGCTGTCAGTGAATTGGAAAAATCAGTAGAAGCTGAACACCCCCCCGTCATCACCCAGCTGTGCCACAGGCTTCATTTCTAGCTGGTCCCAAAGCAGCTGGATCTGTCCTGGTGTCCACACAACCTTATTGCTCATCCACATCCATGTGCTATTGCCAGATGAACTCCTTTTAGCTTCTTGCTGGAGCCAAAAATACTACACTTAGTGAACAGATAAACTAGAATTTCATCAAAAATATTATTAGTGTCTTCTATCTATTGCAGTGGTTAAACAAAAGGGTGATTTTGTTATTCAGTCTCAGTCAAACATGTCGTATTTTTTATGCTACAGAGAGAGGGGTTAGAAGCCAATATAGTACTTTGATCGGACTTAGGTGTAACATCAGGGCTTGTTTTTCTCCTGCTTTATAGAATTTTTTTGAGTACTTAAAATCTGTTAGGAAGAAGACCAAGAGAGTAAATTTCATTTGGTTAGAGATTGCTGAAAGCTGGAATGCAAATTTTGGAGAACAGTGAAATGCCAAGACAGCTTTATGTTTAAGAGCCTTGAAGATGTACCTGGTGCAGTACATTGGTCCTTGAAAGAAATAAAAAAAGAAGCAAAAAGGGGAAAATAGATATGTGGAGAGAGGCAGTAAATCATTCTTCAATGTTGTAAATCTAAGAATTTGAATAAACACAGGATTTATTCTCAGACAAAACAATTCTATATTAAGGGTGGTTTATAGACTAGGAAAAAACAAGGAAATTTGAAGTTGACACTAACAATTCACGCAGATCTTGTGTGGAAATGTCTTTTCCTTTGTTCCTCTTTAGAAACCTAACGATGATAATAATAAGTATGATAGCATCCATAAAAAAAATTAATTTCCTGGCTTTAAAAATACTTTTCACCAAACAACTTTAGATCAAACAGAAGTTGTCAAACTTCAGCAAATATGTTTTCCCTGTATTTTTAGACATATTTGTAAGGGTGCCTGAACAACTACACACATTCTTCAGACAATCTGGACATAGAAAAAGAAACTTATGAAAACAACTCTTTTCAGCTGCTATCCAAAGTTTCTCGAAATTTGTGAAGGTTTGTATAGCTATCATTGTCTCTCCGTTCAGTCAGTCAGGAAAATATTAGAGAAAAATGGAGCTATTATGAGTGGGATTTTCAGAATCACAACATTGCATTTGTGAATAGGAGCCCTATGTATTGCAGCAGCACCAGAAGGCTCCAGCAAAGAGCAAGACCTTGCTTTGCTGCCTCAATGGAAAGGCATGAGGGGCAGTCCTGACCAAAAAAAATTCACTCTAATTACAAGGTAGAAGATCTCTCACTCTGTGAGATCTGTTACTGTCACCCCTAGCAATGGGATTCATCTCACTTAACCTGACGCGTCCGGAATTTAGGCTTCTAATTTACAGTTACAATCTGAACTAGTTGGCCAGGATCCCTTGGTAGGCAAAAGAAAGCACAAGAAGCAGTTTACAGAGGTGACAGCTCTGGAGAAGTAAAGGATTTAATTAAGTTAGGAACTTTGCTTTTAGGCAGTGAAATGAAGGGAGATTTCAAAGCCTGGCTTCCTCCTCTATGCTTGGAGGCACCAAACAGCATTGAGATGTCTAATTCATTATGGGAACACCTTGATTTTGGAAGGAGCTTCAGATATCTGAGGACTTAGGAAAGGTCCTTGGTAATATTTGAGTTGTAGGGTTATAGGGATAATGACTCTGAACTGGCAGACGTTGCCTCGAACCATCTCATATGGCCGCTTGTGCTCACACGTGTAGGGGTGACTGTGTCAATTTTATTTCTGTAATCTGAAGTGGGAAGAAATTAATGGTGTTTCAGTTGCAGTACGTCATTGATGAAAAGGGTTTCTAATCCTTTTACACTTTCCATGTGGCAAAATATTGTCAGGAAAATTATTCTTCAACACTGGCTCTTAAGGCCTCTTGCAGTAGCTCCGCCATGTAAAAATTGATACGCAACAACTTAAAAACCCATTAATGACACCATTGGGTCTGGCCTTGTATTGTATCCTTCAGATAGCAGTTACATGACAGCGCTGAAGCCATCTGCAAATTTCCTGCAAAAATGCTGCATAAATGTGATTATGGTATTATATATTTTAGATATTCCAAGCCTAACATTGGCTACACTCAGACAAGAGGAAAACTGCTGCTGACCTTCCTTCCACTTGGCTGTTATTGATTCGTACAAGTTCATTCAAAAATCAGAA